TATAATTTCAGGCTTCTTCTCTGCCACTACTTAGATTGCATTTCACCTGTGGGGATCATTTCTTAACTTCATTTTCATCCGCAGGTCAAATTAGACAAAAGCTTTAACATCCCCCCCCCCCCCACACACACACACCTCAGGCAACCAACGTACTGGGAGGTGGGGAATTTGAACCCTGACTGGCTGGGGTGGGAAATTTGAAACGGAAGTTTCAATTTCCAGCGGAACACACATGTTTTGTCTTTCTTTCGCGAGCGAATGGCTTAGAATAAAAGGTCAAAAAGGTCAAGTTTTTAAAGCTTGGTCAACGAGTAGAAAGTCACAGTCACAAATCCAGCATTTGGGTAGGGCATTTGAACACAATTTAGCCCCAAGGGACGGAAATTTGAACAAACTAATCTTAAACAAATCAAATGCCTGGGGGAGAGGGGATGTTGAAGCTTCGAATTGTTTGACGCATAAATGTGACATAATCAGCAACAGTCTCGTTTTGTCTGTATTTATCAAATATCAAAATCATGCAGATAATGTTCCCCTTTTTACAGTTTATGAAGGCGAAGCTTTCCTCTCCTATAAGTGTTGTAAAACTGTAGTGTAGCGCCTTAGAAAAACGAACACGATGATTATTTATTGCTAACATTTTTTTTTCGTAATTGCCTTTCTTCGTAGCTTTCGTTTTTGTTTAGCCTAATTTTCTTGTCTTCGTGGCTTTTGTTACCTTCGTTAACTATTCATGTATTGTGAGCAAGACTTTTTTCCCCGATCCGATGAAGTATTGATAGCAGAGTTTTAGAGTGCCTCCCGAAGAATCTCGATATTAGTTTATTTGTTGGTGTTTCGTCCGACCAATCAGCTTTGTTAAGTTGGTGAAGGAAGAGCAGTAAAAACAGGCATACACCTTGGCTAGATACAAACCTGTCAAGGTGTGTTCTGTACATTTTCTTTTACTTTTACTTCATTTCAACAGCCAGAGGTGCTCCTCCTTCAATAGCGAGTTTTCCACGGTTTTGCCCCGCACCTATTCCGCGCAACTGCAATCTCAGTGAATGGTTGCTTTACTACAAGATCAGAGGTCGGCACTGTACATGGTGGTTAAGATGCAGCTCGAAGAGTCACGGTACTCTTGATTGCGGTGACACCAAGTGGGATCACCGGTATGACTCTATAATCTGCTACGAGTTTCGCTGCCCATAAGGTCCTGGCACAGGAAGGGAACTGTCGTCGATATTTGTCTTTAAAACAAGCCTTTTTCAAATCATGTTTAATTCATCTTTGACTTCGCAATAAGCACAGATTTGCTTTCTTGACTCCAGTTCGCTTCTCGGTGATAACATTTTTCATTACTTTTGTAAGTTCAGAAGAATTTAACCAAGAATCCAGCCTCGGCTTTTCAAGGACCCAACTTGGTGATGCCTATTCAGTCTATTCAAACAAACGAGCTTAGACCATCGTTAACCCTTTAGTGAGTGACTAGCATCTAATTTCTCCTTACAACTTAAATTTACCCCTGAATCGCACATTAAGGTTATGAAAATGGAGCTCTTGATTGTAAAACAAATTCTCTATGTCAGCACTCTTGGAAATGTATGTAGAACAGTATGGTGAATATGCATAGTGATGTCAGGCTGTAAAAAGGGTCGTGGTCTTTCCCTGTCTGAGTCCTTTAGCTGATCTTTTAAGTCCTTTTTTTTAGGAAGTAGTTGGTAATCTATATGTTATTCACTTTGGCTTGTGCACAAACGGTGCTTGTGTTTTGTGTTATATAATAAGCTCAGTTATGTACGCATTCTGATTGGTTCTCACTTATAATCTATTATTAGAGGACAGACGCATAGATGACGTCATCGTTAAAACTTTTTTTAATTCTTTATTATATAAAACAAATAGATTCCAAGTTGCTGTGCGTCTGTTCAGTAATAGATCTGCGCCTCGTGTGCCACTTTTTTGTTCTTACCACATTTTGACGTCATCTGTGATCTATTACTGAACAGACGCACGGCAACTTGGAATCTATTTGTTAATTAGATGCTGATATTACTTAAATTTGCTCAGGAGAACATCATTTGATGTATTGCGAGATTAAAGAACCTGATTAAGAAAGACGCTTGTCTTTTGACTAGTAATTCCCTAAAAGTTACTTCCAGCGGAAGGTTGAAAGGGCCATCGATATTATGGAAAAGTGTGAAAAGCTTGTTTTGTTGTGTTCTACTCTCTAGAGAGATGAAGCAAGTTTTTTACTCTTTAAGGCAAAGAGGTTACGAAAGTAACCACCATTTTCGATTTCGGCGTTTCGTCCTCGCTCGAGTCGATTTTTTGTCTTAAAATATTTGGCCTAGCTTCTCTTCCCTGAAAAATTCAATGGTTTGATAATTATGGTCTGCTATTACCACGACGTCACACAACCATTCCATTAAACTCGCATTTCACGATTAACTACTGTAGATGCTAAATGAGAGCTGAAAAGAAGAACTAAATAAGTAACAGTTTAAATCATAAAACGCGTAGAACAATATATACTTGGAGTGTTAGGAACTAGTGAGGATATCGGTGGCAGTTCGTGAAAATCAAGAAATTTTAACGAGACTTCCTAATTGTGTGGAGCCCAATTTTAACTAGTCTCCCTATCAGCCCGGCTCCCCCGTGAAGCGGATATCTAGTCACGTCACGCAATGCTCGGAGTTTATTTCCTGACGTTCCCTTGAATTTAACTAATTGCTTTGCCGTCACTGGAACAACAGATTTGGCTTAGGTGACAGAACGTTGTATTTAACGGAGAATCGTCCCTTGACATGCAAACGCATTCCAAAGAGGCAGCGACCTTCTAATACACGAACTATTTTCCACGTCATACACCAAAGGCGTGAACACGGGATTCGCGAAAGGAGAAGCCTTACGCCTCCTAATACCAAATTCGTCGCGTTCAACGTTTATTAAAAAACGTACAGAGTTTCAAATATGCTTAAGGAATAGAGAATACTAAGAATAAGGTTTGGACAAACTTTTCTCTGGAGTTATTTTCTGCGGGAGAGACTGATACTTTAAAAAAAAGAAAATAGCGCGCACACATGAAAATATTACCTTTTGTGACACAATCTCATCCGGCTTTACCAAACCTCAAGACCATACAGATGGGGAAATGACACCCTAAAACTAACCCTTAATATCACATCGCAAACGGAAGTCATTAAAGGATATCCTAATAACAGCTTAGCTTTCAGATTAGAAGATTTAAAAGCGCAAGCGAATTGCAGGAGTCGCTCAAGCGATCAACACCTTTTAACGATCGACTGCCTTTTGCTTTCCGGCTCACCCAGTGTGTCGCCGTGCGCATTGTAGAGTTATCCATTGGTCAAGTGATTCCGTCTGTCCTTCATCCAATGATCAGGGTAGTCTCTCATATACCGGGTTCTGAAATAACTAATAATTAACAGATAGGTGTAGCAGAAGGGTAAAGTGAGTGGGTACAGAGGATCAGTGAACAGTGGGCACAGAGGACCAGAGAAACAGAGGGCACAGAGAATTAGTAGCATAGTGGAAAAGTAGGAACAGAGGATCAGTGAACAATGCGCATAAAGGACCATAGGAACAGTGGGCACCGTGGACCAGTGGCACAATGGGAGCAGAGGACCAGTGGAACAGTGGGTACAAAGGACCAGTGGAGCAGTGGGTACAGAGGACCAGTGGAACAGTGGGTACAGAGGACTAGTGGGTACAAAGGACCAGAGGAACAGTGGGTACAGAGGACCAGTGGAGCAGTGGGTACAGAGGACCAGTGGAACAGTGGGTACAGAGGACTAAAGGAACTGTGGGCACAGAGGACCAGTGGAACAGTGGGAAAAAAAGGACCAGAGGAACAGTGGGCACAGAGGACCAGTGGAACAGTGGGTACAGAGAACCAGTGGAACAGTGGGTACAGAGGACTAGTGGGTACAAAGGACCAGAGGAACAGTGGGTAAAGAGGACCAGATAGGAATAGTAATAGGAATAGCTTGTTTCTCTTGGAAAATGGGAATGAGAGAGCGACAACTTGTGTTGTCATGTGCTCGCTCTTCGTAAGCAACCTAATTTTCAGAATGCTGTGTTTTGTGAGGACCGCTTTGAAAAGATTCCTGTCTTATACGCTCATCTCACATACAAAATGATGTCGAGCGTTTTCGGAATGGGCCGGTCCACGAACTCTGTAGCTTGAAAGCTAGCCAAATGTGCAAAGCTCATACTAGTTTTTGTGTTGGCTTTCGAGTTGCCATAAAAAGTTCGCTCCACGTGGAACACTGAATCCTGCGCTATGTGAATTTACACGCTCTGTTTTTTCTCCTCTGATTGGTTCGCTTCCAGCCCTTCGGTCCCTCGTGATTTTTTCATTGTCATTGGACCAATAACACTTCAGAATTGACGTGTGATTTCCATGACGTTTGGGCACGTGACACATATCTTGTTAAATTTGAAACGATCATCAACAACGCTGAATTTCGCAAAAAATCATGGATATAATGAATGCACCCTTAAACGACTCAACGATTGCACGATTTAAATAAAAAACTGTAATTTTATAGACAACTATGGCGGCGTGAGGTAGCTAGCATACAAACATACAGGTCCTTTTGAAAACCTATGGTCGGAAAGTGAGCAAAAGATTCCATACTTTTAACACTCCTCCGACGTCTCCCATGGAGAAAGGAGAATATTGAAACACCTTTTGTTGTTATATGAGCCATCAAGCTTCCAACATGTATGTTCTTTGGAATAGGCAAACGTATGTGTTTGTTGTACGTGTTCAACAAAAGCGGACAAATAAAGCATTGTGACATAAGAACAACCTTGCATGCTACAAGACTAGTAGCAAATTAAAAAACATCCATTTCTTGATTATTTTATCCGCAAGTTGGCCAAAGTGGGCCACATGATTCCTAAACAGCTCGATACAGTAATCACTTCTCAACTACCTCTCCTTGGTACTAATTGTAGATCCTATCATCCGCTGATCGCGGCTACGATTATTTGCTGGCTCGTTGCACATGGCACAACAACAAACATGATGGCCGTCGAACCATCGGATGCTGAAATCAAGTCTGCTTTGGCAGGTATTCAATCCTATCTACGCAAACGAAAGCTTATGTCGAAGAATTTACACAGTCATAACAATTAAGGGTTTAAGCTCCCTCATATCTTGATTTCTAGACATTTTACGCGATGGTGAACTCTCCCAGCTAACGTCGAGAATTGTTCGCCGTCAACTGGAAGATAAGTTTGGCGTGAGCTTTCTTGCCCGGTGAGTGTGAAAACACTATTGATTTTAGCTTCAATTTGCTTTAGTTGTTTACACAGAAGAAACTATGGCGAGGAAAAAAATAAAGTATCTAGTTTGAGCCAAACACGTGTTGTTCCGCAGGGGAATTATTCGTCATGCAACTTAATGATGACTTGATGACCGCCCAAAGTATTCTGACATTTTTCCCAGTTAAAAGCTTTAAGGTCCCTAAGGTATGAATTGATTCTTCTCCCATAAAACTGCAGCCCAGAGACGTGATAAACTGGAGAATAAAACTGAAGATAAACAAAATTTATTCGGTAAAACCTCAACTCGATAATGCATAAAATCGTATCAGATTCCGTCGGGATCAATGGTTAAGCTTTGATTGCATTTTTAACTATTGATAATTTTTGAAATTAGTTGATTCCTTAGTCAATTAATTCTACGATTAACGCTCCATCCATATGAGACTCGACAACTATCGGTCCTTCGTTCACCGTTTGAAAATAATTTTATTTGATTTCTTATTGTAAACAAGCTTATATTTTTTTGTTGATTTGATATAAAAACGATACTTGTAGGAATTAAGAATAAATTTACTAGTTTATAAATCCTGATTAATTCTTTTTCTCGCTTTCATCATGCGGTTAAACTTTTCTGCATAGCTGGAGAGTTGTCATTTACTTTCACCAAAAATCAGAACTTTTAATCGAGCGTTATAATAATGGCTGTTGAATTCAATTCCAATCATTGTTGGAATGTTTGAGGCAAAAATAATATTTTCAGCCATTCTTAATGGGTTTTGGGTTTTCTAAATGTTTCACTGTATAAAGCCTATACCTTGGTTCATCCATTTATCGAAAAAATGTTTCTTTGTTGTACTGTAAGTTATTTTTTAATTTAACCCTTTAACTCCCTGAAGTGATGAACATGAAACTTCTCCCTATAATATCCATACAATATTCAGCAAACAGGGAATGAGAATATTTAAACTTATCAGGTAGAAGCTGCTATCTTGATATAGCACCAAATTCTTATAACTTATTTACAGGGCAATGTGTAGCAGCTAGAGGGGAGAATTAAAAAGGAGATCTTGGGAGTCGAATGGTTAAAATATGGTATCTTTTCTCAAGATATGCATCCTACAATGTTTAAGCTCCATGTTGCATATATAGTGGAGTTATTATGGTGTGAAATAAGGCATGGCAACAAGTGGCAGGTACATGTCTTGGCAACAAATGGGAATTCTCTTTAAAAAGTGACTGCAATACATGGCGAGAGCAAGTTGTAGAAAAGTTTCGCCTTGTGTGACATGGATAATTTTTGTTAAAATCTTGTCATTGTGACAGAAATTTATCTTGATATGAAATCATGCAAAATCAGTTTTTTTTTTTTTGGTGAGGTCTGGCTGCATGATACAGTAATTTTTTTCTCCCAATGTGTCTTCCTTGTAATGTCAACTAAGTGGGGCAATGGTTAGGTTTTGAATTTGTGAGAAATTGTCGTTTAAAGTCTGTATCTGTATCTGAGGGACAGTTCACCTACCCCTCCCCTAGCACAACCACAGTCAACTGATGACAAGCTACAGTTAGTGTTGGGTTAGGGAAGGGGTAGGCTCGCAGTTTCTCAGATGCTGAGTGACATTGATCTAGAATTATCATAACCTTGTGGATATATCCAAGATGAAGTGGCTCATGAGCTTAGTGGTTCCCTTTGCAAATGTCAAAATACATTTTCTGTAGGAAGAAAGAAATTGATGCAATGTTGATGGATATGATTGAAAAGTCAAGAGAAGTAGAAGGTGACAAAGAACAGGAAAATGGAACCTCTGAAATAAATGGAGTAACACAGGAAGAGGATGACAAGGAAGATGAGGAATCATTAGAGGTATGAGAGTGTTTGCAATAGGGACTGTAGGAAAAACACGACCGCAACGGCAACAAGAACATAGCAAAACAGAAGATCTAACAAGCAAAATAACAGCACAGCACATACATTTTAAAACTTTGTACATTTCTTAGCCATCCTATACAGCAACAAAACATGGAATCACCAACTTTTGCATCCCTTTGATATTCCCTTGCCATTCCCTTGGCTCGGGCCAATAATTTAGAGAGTGGGAGAGACTGGAGTGTTTTTTTACAGATAAATAGGACTCTGTCAACTAATTAGTACGTGAATTGTAGCTAGGCCAATCTTTTTGTGAGATATACTAAAATTTAAATTGTTTAAGCAATACAGTGAACTTTAATTGGAACTTTTCCCATCCATCATTAATGGCTTCAGAAAAAGAAACTTTCAAATTTGCACCCAGGGTAGGGTTAGGGAACCATGAAGCCTGTAATTACAACTCTGTGTTATATATTTGTTAAAATAATTGTTGATTATAATTTTTTGCATGTCTTAGGATGATGAACCATCACCAAAGAAAAAGAAAAGGGTTAACAATAAGGTAGCATTTTTAGAGAAATGTATTATTCAAATTATTTTTGTTACCAGCTTTTGAATTAATTTGGCATTTGGTTCTGGTAGATTCTTGCTGTTTGTTTTATCTCCATCCATAGAGCTCTTTTCTATCATTTTGTCAGGTTCAAAGTATTATAATTATTTTTGAAAAGTTTATATTTTGCCTTTGACTAGAAGTCCAGTAAAAGTGATGATGGCAGTGGTAATGATGATGATGATGATGATGTGAATATTTTGAATTAAGTAACATGTGGTATTTCCTTGAATAAGCATTAACTACAATGGAATTGGTACAGGCTAACAGTTTCTTTATAAGCATCCATCTTGATGAAGCCCCATCCTTCAAATAAGCACCCCTGCTTCCAGCCAAAATTTTAAGCAAGTACCTCAGTGCTTATTCAAGGAAATACAGTACTGTTGTTGAATTTTGAAGCTTACCATCAATTTTGCTAATATGATACCAGATGGAGTGATACAAGACAATGGGTTGAGATCTCCAGACATTCCTTAACTGTAAAATTTCAACAGGAAAATAATCAGGCAGTTGAGTGTTGTAGATGACACCTTTTTTTCTTTTCTTCAGGAAACTCATGTTTTAGATGATGAAGAACTGGCACGCAAGCTTCATGAAGATGAGAAGAATTTGCGATCAAGAAGACACACTGCAAAGAGACCAGTGGTGAGTTTGTGCTTGATTCCAATTTAATTTGCCCCAAGAAGTATGTTCAGCCCTTTACACCCTAACATCAGTAGGCAAGTTCTCCAGACTGCTCTGTATACATGTACCTGCAGATTCCTTGTGGTACTTACAAGGAAAATTTGTCAAACTATCAAGAGCTTGAGTTTGCAATCATTTCCTTTTATTATTCTTACGACCTTTATGTTTGATTCAGGGGTGATTTTGTTTGAAAAAATTAAATGCTTATTATTCACAGGGAGAAAAGGGCTAAATGATTGTGTAAAGGAATTATTATCAAACGGTGCTCTTGCAAATTTTTATATGCCAAGCTGTGGCACAGTCTGACGAACTAAAGATTTTCCAATTTTTAACACAGATGCTGTATCAGTAAGCTTTTAGATTTGAATAGGAGCCTAATCTTCACTCATGTAACAGATGTTTGGCCTATTTGCAATGATGATCTGACTGTTAATTCTCCCCTCTAGCTGCTAGACATTTCCTTGCAAATTGGTTATGAGAATTCGCTGTCAGATCAAGATAACAACACTTACTTCTGCATGATAAGCTGGGTTTTCTCAATACTCCTTTGCTGGAGAATTTTTGGATATTATTGGGAGAAGTAACATGTTAATCACCTCTGAGGGTGAAAGAATATACAGCATAATGGAAAGGATTTGTGTTCTCAGTTGGTATCGTTAGCAGTTTTCCACCTCACAAAGGAAAAACTGTCAAGTGTGTTTCTAAAATTAATTTGTAAAACTATATGTATGTGCAATTTAACTTTTAGGAAAGGAGAAAGACAGCAAAAGCCAAGAAACCCAAAGAAAGTGGTGGATTGACAGGTGAAAATGATTTGATTTTGTAGAAGAAATGGTGCTTACATATTCCTGTGCTCATCTTTTGGCAAATTAAACTGAAAGTCTTTACACAAAACATACGATGGAAGCTGACTCTTCATTTCTCTGTTTACTTCCAGGGTTTAAAAGGATAATGGTGTTGTCACCACAACTTGCAGAAGTTGTAGGTGAAGAAAAGGTGATTGAAATGAAGAAATTGTTAAATCTGCATGCCAGTTTTTAGTCTCTCTTTGAGTCTGTATGTAAAATGATGAGAAACTTAGAGTGATACTGTTCTATTGGCAGCTCAACTACTGAATAAAATGACTTGAAACACTTGTCAAATGCAATACATGTAAAGATGTTTGGCAATAATTTGTATCATACTAGTAAATTAATTTCAGAAGAGGCAGGTATATGGAAAATGGCTAATTTCCTGTTTTCAATTTTCCTTTCCTTCTATAAAGCTCATAAATTCTTTTTTTACCCAACTGATTGATAATGTATTACAAACTCAGATCTTGCGGCAACATAACTTTTTTTTTCTAGTAGTGGACAAAACAACACTAAGTTTCAGTTTTATCATTTTGAAATAGATATGTTTTGTTAATTGTATATTTCATCACACTTATTTCCCTAGATGACCAGAAGTGATGTTGTTAAGAAAATGTGGGAAATTATTAAGGAAAGAAAACTAGAGGTAATGAATGCATAATGAAAGCTGTTCTCAGAAAAGCAGAAATTTTCTGAAGAAATTGCAGTTCTGTGTTGTAGGGGATATTAATACAGGTAACAACATGATTATGGGTGCAATTTGGTGTTAATAATCAGGAGTAAATTTTTCAATGACAACAAAATTGCATGAGCCTGAAGGGCAAAAGAAATCATGTTGTTACTTCTATCTACAAACATGACACTATCGACATTGCTGATCCTAGCAGTATGCAGGATCCGAAGGTCTGAGGTTCGATTCCTTGTGGAGACTTGGAATTTTTTCTTTGTGCCACACTCATGAAAAGACCAATACATCTTTCTCTATGTTGATAATTGTTAATAATTTACATGAAAAATGCATCGCAGAAAGTCAGGAGTGACGAAATTTTGGAAGTGCGCATGCCGTTTGTAATTTTCACTTGTGTTACATGAAAAATGCACTTGTTTTCAGCCAATCAGACATGTGTAATTTTTTCATATATATTATTACAACTCAAAGATAATTTGGTTTTATCAACTGAGAGTGAGTTGATAATGTGAATTGGCCACCATGTAGAGTTTCTAACTGAAGTTGTGAGTGTTTGCCCTTCATCAGAGCAAAAAGTTTGACTATATAATTTTATTTTCCTGTACTGTGCAGTAACTTGTGTACTCTTTTTTCAGGATCCTAAAAATAAAAGATTTACGCTATGTGATGAACAACTGCAACAAGTGTTTGGTATGTATGTAAACTTAGAGTAGTGGCAGATTGTCAACAATTGTACCTGGCACATGTGATTGTTGTTTTTCTTGAACAGTCTTTCCATGGCAGAAAGATGCCGAATGAGGTGAAATTCAAGCTCCAAAAGACATGGCCAGAATAAAGACCAGAATACTGTAAATTTCATACCCTTTTCATGGCAGCAAATGCAAGTGTTCTTTAGCACTGACAGAGCCTATAGTTTTGCAGTTATTATCAGAAGATTTGTGTTTAAGAATGTCTAACCATCAGAATGCCATCATCAAGATAACAAATTTTTCCTCGTTACTTTAAGGTCCTGTTTACATGAAGCTGGGTGGCCCAAGGCAGGCGAGGTAACCTGCCCAGCTGTGGCAAAAAAATAGCCTGTGTTTACATACAATCTGACTACCCTGGGATTCCAGGGTGAATGCAAGTGTAGCCAAGTGGTTTACCCCACCTTGAGACATTTACATGGCAAATTGCAGCCCTGGCTGACAGGGTTACCCTACACTGCAGACCAGGGATTCCACCTGGATGGGTTTCCCCACCTATCATGTAAATGCAATAAAAATAAAATGAAATAAGAGGCAAGTCACCTCACCCACCTGGGGTCTGCCACTTTCGTGTAAACAGGCCCTAAGACCCTTTTTCTTTAGCCTGGGACATGAACCCTTGACCTTACAACATCAGTCCACTGTGCTCTTAACCCTTTAACTCCTATAAGTGATTAACATGTAACCTCTCCCTATAACATCCACGAGAATAATCAAACTTATCAAGTGGAAGTTAGTAGTCTTGATCTAACACCAAATTCTTGCAATTTATTTACAAGGAAATGTGTAGTAGCTAGAGGGGAGAAATCAAAATCAGATCTTGGGAGTTTAAAGGTTAATTGAACCACCTACAGCAGCAAGGTTAATTTAGTTAATTCTCACTTTTAGTGTCAGTCATAAGCTATGATGCCAGCAGTCAATGTAGCGAGACAAAGCTAGAGGCTTTTGAATTACTGACAGAACCATTGCTTAAATAGATGTCTCATTGGTAGTTTTCTTTCCCCAAACCCCAGTAAACTGATTTATTCGGCAATTCTCCCATCTGGCTGTGATACATTGCATTTTAAATTAATTATGAGAATGTAGTGCCATGGCAACATAAGATCCTCAAGTAGCTCAGGTTGTGAATTCTTCCAACTTGCTTGTAGAATTATGTACTGAAATTAGGAGGAGAACTTAACCTATTAACCTCTAAGAGTGACTAGCATCTAATTTCTCATGACAATATCACTGCTGAATCACACATTGATGTCATGAGAATAAAGGAAATGATCAGCAACTAAAGAAACTCTGGATTATTAGACAAATTCTCCTTGTCAGCACCTTCGCAAATGTACAGAGAACAGCATGGAGAATATGCATACTGATGTTAGGGTGTACAGAGTTAAATCTGAATCTCGTCTTGATGTCAAAGGGTTTAATAATAGGATTTGGGTATTTGTGAAAACTATATATGAAAAAATACACTCTTCAACTTGGTCTGTTAGTTGTCTCTCTAAAACCATCTTTTATTCCAGGTCGCAAGAGGATACAAACATTTGGAATGATGAAATATTTAACAAAACACATCATAGATCCTGATAAAATTTCTCAAAGTGCAATGTAAGGATTGAAGCAAGCAACTGAGACATTGTGACCTCTCTGGAGACAAACTCTGCCCAAGATCAATAATTTATAACAAATTCTAGTAGGAGCTTTTAAAAGCAAATGGTATTGTTTGTATTTGTGTACAGTATCTTGATTTTTTTTTTCTCAAGGTTGCTTTGTTGCATTAAACTACAGTTCATATCACTTGTGTGAATCATCTTTGCATCTTTAATTATCACCTAGTTCCATTTTGGAGTCAAAATGTTAGTAATCTTTGGCCTATTGGAACAAAGGAAATTATCCTATGGAGCCAACGGGAACACACTTGTCCAACCATGCAAGCATAGAAATGACAAAGGATGTATCCAAACCAGTCGCCAGAGACTTTAATCTCCCTATTCACTCAAAGCAGCATATGGTAGTTTGCAGCCTTTCCTTACATTTAGTCAGTTCGGAAAGCTGCAAAACTCTAGAACAAAAATTTGTCTTTGAAATCAGCACTCTTAATTCCCACGGTATCAAGGAGCACTTTTTATTCAACTAATTTATCCTTGTTCTCTCGTCACTATATACCCACCAATAGCATAGCTCCATTTTCTGTATGTAACAACACACACAACCAACAATCCCTCCATTTGCTCTGATGAAGGGCTAACGTTCGAAATGTCAGCTTTGGGTTTAATACTATATTACCACAGGTTTTAGACTTGCATCTGATTGGTTAAGAATTGCATAGGTACTCAACCTGCAGTTCTCAGTTTAAACACCAACCAGTGTTATGGTCAACACCTCTCCAATGCCATTTTCACAAAGACAATTCTTTTAAAAGTCTAGCTCAAATGTCAGTTTAATGGTGTTGTTCAAAGTCGTTTTTCTATCCCAGAAAACCACGCATACTTGAAGTCTAAATTTTAATGTTTTTCTTTTATTTTTATTTTTATCACAAGGTGATGCTCTTCAATTAACTAGATGTACCAACCTAATATTTCACCATGACTTCATTCGGTATTTTGGCAGAAAATAGTGTTCACGGCAAATTCAAGAAGGAAAAATCTTCTGTTTCATTCAACCATAAAAACAGTTTCAAATTTCACCCATTTAGGCAACCATTAGCATGATCATTGGGACTTCAGTAACAAACAAGTCTAAATGGTCATTTCTGACCAGAGAACTTTGGGTAACTATGTACATAACTGTTCACAAGAAGGTGCAGCACTAAGAGAGGAATTTTTGCAAGGCTAATTTGCTAAATTAAACTTGGCAAAAGGTAAAAACAATTTTTTCTGGAGTAATATCTGATTGGCTAACTATGCATTAGTAACCAATCCAGCCTTTCACAATAAAGACCACACGCTGGATTTTTGTCCACATCACTTACAGCAAAGCAGAAAAAGGCAAATCAGCAGAAAAATTTAATAAGTTATTTGCCAGTCTAGGTAGTTCTGTATGGGAAAAAAGACTGGGCTAATCATGCTGAGTAAAGTGCAAGGCTGAATTTAAGACCTCAGGCAGAGTTTTCCTTTTCCTTCCACTCAGTAAATAACATATAACTACAACTATTGGGCACTTGATTTAACCCTATAACCCCTAAGAGTGACCAGCGTCTAATTTCTCCTTACAATATCACCCCTGAATCAAACATTAAGGTCACGAGAATCAAGAAAATGATCACCAACTTGTAAAGCTCTTGATTTTTAAACAAACTCTCCTTGTCAGTCTTTCAGGAAATGTATAGAGAACAGTATGGAGAATATGCATATTGATGTTAAAGTGTAAAAGGTTTAGTTAACCTTCCCCCACCCATTTCATCATCCCCATTGTAGCATAAAGCAAGAGACAAGAGGTTTAAGATGTTCAAAACATGTTTTACTATTCCTTAAAACTCTGCCAATAATAATTTATAAAAATGTCATTTTAGGTACATTTTTCTTGGTTCAAAAATACACATTATATACAGATCACATTAAAAATACAAGAACCACCATCCAAGATTATTAGTTACATAGACGGAAAAGTGATTGAATGCTGGACATGGGCATCTTTTATCTGCCTTTCGGTTCACCAAGACCCCACATCATAAATAGAGATACTTAGTTAATATATAATATTTGGTAATTAACCCTGGAGCATTTACAGAGGAGAGTAAAATTTACAATTATCTACAGAATTTTTAGGGAATTTTTTTTAAGCCAAGATTTTGAACTAGGAAATAGTACTGAGAATCAACACAGCTGAGAACCCTTTAGAAAGAAAGAGTTTCTAATACCCACAAGACTGTGTATTCCTGAATTCTAGTTGCAACAATTGCATAATGATTTTGCCAGAAGAGAAATGTTTATGGGTATGCAATAACGTACAAATGCAAGAAAGTTGCATTATTGATGTCTGTCTTCATGTGCTCTTAAACCATTTGATGCCACCTCTATTGATGCAAACAAGGGATTGCTTCAAGATGTGGTTGAGCAAGATGTGAAAGAAAAGGTTGAACTAATAGGTACATAAAACAACTTTGGTAATTTTGCCACACAAAGGAAATTGACTGATCAATGAACGTTGCTTGGAAGTTAACCTGAAACTTAGCACAGATGTTTTACCAGTTTTCAAAAGTTACAAGCCGTGTCAATAATCACTATGTTGCCTTAGAGTTTCATAATTTTGACGTCATTTCAAGGCAGCTGGTCTTTAAGATGTCACCTTGATTAACTACTTCCCTACAGGAGGATTTTTTTTGGTCACAAACAACTAATTTATTGGAATTTTTGAGCAGAAAGCATCCATCACACCATAATAATTTAATAGTGATTGTTTGGAAATTATTTGATAGTAGTATCTCTCTCCTTTGGATGGACAGTTTGATGGTTGGATAAGTTCAACTCCTACACAATTTTTCTATTTACATCTTGTAAACCATAAATTATTCTATGCTCAAATGTTTGACATCCCATGTTAAGAAATGAGATGGTTGTCGATTGAATAGTGATATTATGTGCTGGAGTTCTTTTGCATAAACCTTCCTAGAAATATTTTAAACAGTCTGTGAGCTCAGCACCAGTTGAAAGAAGCCAAACCAAACCTTTGATACAAATTTTTAAGAAAGAAGACATCTCCAAAAAGGAAGCTTTTTAACATGCAAAACTGCAACTATCAGATAATTATGAGGGCCTAGATTTTAACCTAATTTCAGTGTTGAAAGCTCAGGGCAGTGTTTTTAAACTTGCGCAAAAAGCAAGAGCAGTAATGCTTATGTCTGACCATATTTATACACAATTAACCTTAACTTTAGTAAATTTGTCTCACTACAATTGTACTGTCTCCCCCCTCCCCTCTCCTCCCAATGCTCTACCCAGCTGTATTCCCAAATGAATTATTATGTAAGCCACATAGGTGCAAGAAACACCAACTAAAACAGGATTCTAGGAGACATGAATCAAATATGATCATTGAAAATCATGCCTGTAATTTAACTATTTAACTCTCCTCGAGTTTGCAGTTAAACCCCCATCACTCCCCACACTGCTCCCGGTACTAAAACGATCATCTGACTCACTACTGGCATAGCCAGCTTCCTCGTCATTTTCCACATCAATTTCCTCGCCACTTGTAGAGGAATCACCTTCAGAGTGCCGCGGCCTCTTTGCCCCTGGGACTGCCTTGTCACCGCGAAGGAGGGCTAACCTTCTTTGAAGGTCATATCTCTCTTGGGCAAGCTTTCTCTTAGTGTCTATCGCCTCTTTCTCTGTCATTTGTAAAACCTACAAACACAATACAGAAACAAATTACTGCGATAACAATTACACAGTCAATCTCCAAAAATTAATAACATCGCTAACAGACAAAAGGAAAGGTATGTCATGATTCAAGTTTTGTCTATTTTTCAATTTAAATGTTAATTCATAGGCAATTAAGTGGCATTAGTCACATTGTGACAACACAATACATTTCAAACTAGAGTTCTTGTTTTCGGCAAATCTTTCCTCAAATTCAAAGGGCATCCAAAAAAAAAACTCTCCTCTCTAATATATCTAATTACAAATCTCAGCATGATGTAAACAATAAATAAATTCATCAATTTTTTTCATTTCCACTACAATCAAACATATGAGTGCATTTCAAAAAAAAAGATCTTCCTCCTTTTTTCATTAAAAATTTTGTTGTTATGCAAATTCAAGTGATTTGTAAAACACAGTATGTATCTTGTGCAAACACCCAGCCATTCACAATTACTTTATTAAATTCACAGTTTGATTGTCAAAAATGGAAATAATAGGAAAAGATTCCAGTCTAAGGACAACACAGGTTTGTCAATCAAGTTTATAAACATTCACCAAATTAAAAATGTTAATCAACTCTTGCAAATGATTTCTATCTTCAGAAAACAATGGCTGAATAGATTTTAGTGCCTTGATATGCTGTACATTAAATTTCACCAATAAACTTCATAAAAAAATTTGGTTTTCAGTGTGTCTCTAAACAGCCCAGACACTGGTAAACCATCCTTTCAAACTTGAATTTTTCCTTCTTCCTTACAAACAGCTGCAGATTTTAACATCCTTTTTTTTCTAATTTTCCTAAGGAAAAATATACTGATTGCAGTTGTAACTTCACAGAAAAAATAAACACCCATATCACCAAAATATTAATCAAATGACGGCATGATGTCAATGGAATATTGTCTTAGCATTTTATACCCTGAGTGAGTAAAAATATATAATTTCTGACAGAGCACTAGCTTAGAAACACTTTTCAGAGTACAATTAACACCACATGCTTTTTTCAAAAACCACAGACAGCAGCAGTATGCAACATAATTCCCAACCAAACAAAAGAAATAAAATCTTCATTTCATTTGGCAAAGCAAGATTTCATGCTTCACTTAAATCTAATTTTGTAAAATACATAAACCCTTCTTATCCATTAGAGAAACAAGAGTTTTATTAAAAAGAGCTGACATATTTTTAGTGGACAGAAGTACCTACAGAGCTGTAGATTCAAAAGTATTTCCTGTGCTCAGCAATAAAGAAAATATCCCACTGTTCCACATCAAATTGAAAACAGTTATTATGTCTATTTTGCAGAACATACACTGGTGTACTAGAGATAACATATCAGAGTGTGCAAATGTCCATGAAAAAAAAAAATTGGGAAACATGGCACAAAATTTAAATAAAACAAATAAAAAATTTACATTTAGGTTCTCCCTAAAA